GTGCTCTAGTGCGGCCGCCATTACACGAGTGAGTGCGGGGTCGCGGTCCTCCGCGATACCCACAGTGAACGCTGACCCAGCAGTCAGCAAGGCATAGTCAATAAAGTCCTTTAAGCTACAGGTGCATTCATTACTTGGTATACGAGATTTCGTGGGTTCATGGAGTCCAAAACGAAACAAGTCCTTAAATAAAATCTCATCATATAATGGTACCTGATAAGATAGTTCACAGAACCGGTGAACATACTCCTCAATAGAAAGACCTCCTTGCCGAAGATTTAGTAGCTCGGTGACTGGGTCCATACCAGGCCAGAGTCCACTGAAAAAGCGGCTGGATCCTTGTGTGGCCGAGTATTCTGTAATGGGGCTGACGAGATGTGAGACGTGCGGATCCAAATGCAAAGCTTTAATTAGACAGAGACGTGGTCATAAGACAGGCAGGGTCAGAACACAGGCAAACAGGTATATGGCGGGCAAAACACAAGAACAGTCACAGGGCTAGCGAAGGTCACCGATGGGCAGACAGAATCGGAAGGGACAAGACTAAGGGAGAAATCCAAGAAAAAGGAAACAGACAAGGCAAGGCAAAACTAGGCTAAGGCTAAGGCTAAGGCTAAGGCTAAGGCTAAGGCTAAGGCTAAGGCTAAGGCTAAGGCTAAGGCTAAGGCTAAGGCTAAGGCTAAGGCTAAGGCTAAGGCTAAGGCTAAGGCTAAGGCTAAGGCTAAGGCTAAGGCTAAGAAAAACGACCTAGGGCTCTGTAGAGTAGCTATCGCTAGGAGAGTGTTAATCGCTAGACAATACTCGGCAGAGGGAAGGGATCAGAGTGAGTGTTAAATAGTGAGGGAGTGATATGAAACAGCTGGGTGCAATCAGTGTGAACAGCTGAGTGCAATCAGTGCAATGCATGATGGGAAATGTAGTCCGGGGTGATGTGCAACAGTGTGTAGTGCAAGAGTCAATGAAATTGGAAGTTCATGGACCGGATTCGTGACACATGGAAGTAATAGAAGTATGATTTTACTTTTCCACAACTT